TTATGCCCATAAATGATTCTTAATTACCTCTCTATTCTTCAGCCTTTGAAAAATAACTTCAAACATATGCATATATCTTGACTTTCTTTTATGTACTTCCTATTAAAACTCAGAAGGACTGGTTGGCCAACCTACAACATCTTGTAAACTCTTTTAATTTCCCCCACATTCAATTCAGTACATAATTGGAAGACAGATCAAGGCTTGATTTACTGACATTTGAATAAATCTATGTCAACTGAAGGAGCTGTAGAGTGCTCTAAACCAAAAAACAAATAATTCCCAGATGGTAATTGTGAAAGTTCATTCTCATTCCCCCCATCACAATTCTATGCATCTATACCACCAGGAAAAGAAAAGGATTGCAAATGTACGCAAACTGCTGATTCGGTGGGTGGGGTAGGGGCAGAGTGGAGAAGAAATCAGCTGTTAAAATAAATCATCTGATCAACTGACAGCCCCGGGCAAGCAAAAGCCCAGAAGACATTATGAAAGGATATTCTTAAGTATTTGATGTTGCTAGGAATTTTAGAAACAAAGACTGAGGATAGTATTTTAATCCTGGATCTTCTAAAGAAAAGTTAAGGGCTGTGGACTCCTCATAAATATGTCCTAAGAGAGAAATGGACAATAAGGACACTACAGGAAGATTTGGGGGAGTCCACAATTTCTTAAATGATATTCACTTATTCAATACTAATTTTATTGAGTCACTATATGTTCAACATGGTACTGGGCACCATAATACAAACAAACAGAAAACCCTATCCCTGCCCTACTTACCATGTATGAGGAGGGAGGGGCAATTTATAAAGCTATGTAGGAGCTATGAGTATTGGTTAGAGCAAGTATCGAGAGCCAGCACACAGCAGGGATACAAAAGCTGTTCAGAAAGCTCAGGGAAGCTTACCAGAGAAAACAACCTTCATGTTGAGTTCATGGAAGCTGAGCCTTATGGGCTGAAAAGCACAAAGATGTTGAGTATGGCTGAGGCATAAAATGCAGGGAAGGGAGGGCAGAGCATTGAGAAATGATGCTAGAAGTACAAACAGGAGCAGCTCACGAAGTGCCCACAAGACATTACAAATGGCAAGCTTTCATCGGGAGGCACTGGGAAACCTTGACAAAGCTTCTACAAAGAAATGCATGGATGGCAAGACCAGATCCGATCTACAAAGCCTCAAAAAGTTCAAGAATGGCATCACAGCAAGGTGGCAAGCTAAGAGGCTGTTGTGGTTATACAGGTGGGAGGCAGTGTCAACCTGGACTAGAGTAGCTGGGAAGGAGAGAAGTAGAAAAACTCAGGAGAGATTTTTTAGGAGATAAAATGGGCTGGACTTGGTAGGTGATTTCTGTGAGGAATAAGAAAGAAGATGAGTCAAGGATGACTCCCATCTCTGGTTTAGATATAACTGAATCAGTTGTCTGAACACCCAGAGATTCTGAACACCGAGGGAGGAATAGGTCCAAGGAATAAAGACCATACGTTCAGTTTTGACAAGTTTGAGATGGGTGTTGAATACTCTAGTGGAAATACTGAAAGCGTAGCTGCTCAACGGAAATATAATACAAGCCATAAGTGCAGGCCGCAGATAGAATCTTAAATTTTACTGTAGCCACAATGAAAAATTTAAAAGAAACAGGTGAAATTAATTTTAATAATATATTTAACCCAATATATTCAAAACTTATCATTTCAACGTAAGCAATATAAACAAATTGTTGCGCTCTCTTACATTCTTTTTTTTCATACAAAGTCTTAGAAATAAGGTGTATAGTTGAAACTTATGGCACATCTCCATCTGGGCGAGCCACATTTCACGTGTTCAGTAGCCACCTGTGGCGAGTGACTTCAATACTGCGCAGGGCAGGTTGGATAAATGGATCTGGAATTCAATAAAGCAATGTAGACTGGAGGAACAAAATCTAGAATCAACAGTGACTGTTAACTGAGGCTGTGGAATAATCCAGATCACTTGGGAAGAGCATGACGTGCAAGGAAAGCTTCTCACAGAACCCTAAGGAACACTAGCATTTAAGGGGCAGGGAGACGAACTTACAAAGGAGGTCTAGAAGGAGCTCACAGAAATCCACTGGTGAGATGATCCTCGTTCCAGGTAATTTATCTCTAGACATAAGAAATGTGGGATCAGTAAATCCAGGAACTATGTGAGGCACGTTGCCATTATGAGGCCTCTATGGGAAACGTGCCTGACATTTTTCTGAAATGAGGTCCTGACTTACACTGATAGGGCTAATGCTTTCCAGTCTTATCAGGAAGGATGGGGCTGGGAGAATGAGATTGGAAGCCAGGAAAGGAACGCTATGCTGAGTACCTGGGCCCCTAAAGAAAGCACGTTTTTAGAGCTGGCAAGTGAGAGAGCACTCACCCAAACCAAGCGTGTCATCATTTTAGCAGAACAGAAACTAGACTCTGCCTTGTAGAGGGTGGGAATCTTTCCTTCACCTAAATATTAAACATTATTACCAACTTCAAACATTTTTAAGCCTCAGTCAACCCAACTGCAAGGTCAAGTCAGAGGAAGGTACAAAACCGGAAATGCCACAATGTAAGCACCCATCACTCTTGGAAAAGGTAGTGAGGGGAGGTCGCCAATGTCAAACAAGGAACTTATAGTGAACATGAACCAGAAGGGGCCTCCAAGGAGGAGATCACACTCCAAGCACTCGGTTGCTGGTTAGGGGGCAGAGGTGCCCCATTAAACAGCTGTGCAGCCCTCACGCCTTGCCCTCTGGGGACCTGGGCTGAGGGAGGCAGGAGGAGGCTAAGAGTTGAAAGGGAAGAGGGCAGCGTCCTTGTGCCACATCAGATCTCCATCAACATGCAACCCCAAAAGATGGGGACCGTGAGAGCTTTGTAAATCAACTCTTAGGGTGCGTGCTCCAGGGCAAATAGCACAACAAATTAATCCTTTCTCCATGAAATGCAGCAAAGTTTGTATCTACGCAGAATTCAAATTGCTCATTAGCTCTGACATGTTCCTAATGAGGTTATAATGCTCTGGGACAGAGATCAAGTCACTGAACACACATAGCTGAGGATAGAATCCTGGAAAGCTCAAGTTAGAAAGACCTTAGGGCAGTGCTTCTAAACCTTGAGTATAAATCCCCTGTGGGTCCTGACTCAGAACGTCTGCGGTGAGTCTGAGATTCCCAAGTCTAATCCCAGGCCACACTGATGCACTCTGACTAGCAAGGCCTTCGAGATCATCTAACCCAACCATGTCCTAGAGATGAGGACATGAAGGCTAAGAGGCTCATAATTGGGAGTGTGCTAAGACTCCCCTGGGGCGAATTTGGGGTCATTGAGCACTTGTCCGCAGACCTGTGAATCAACCTGAAAATGTTTAAATAGAAGCCTAGGGAGTAGGGTGACCAACCATCCTGGTTTTCTCAAGACTGAAGGGGTTTCTGGGACACGAGGTTTTCTATTTTAAAACCAAGAAAATTACAAACAAACCAAGGCAAGTTTTTCACCCTAGTAGGAGTCTTTTGAATCTACTTAGAATACAGTATCAGGATTATTATCTTTTTGACCTTGTCAGTCCCTGAGTGCTGGGATCATGACCTGCTGCCTAGGTAAGCACCTAATTATCCTGTCCGAAGATTCTCCAAGAGCAGATGTTCAGAGGATTCCACCTGCAGAGCCTTCTAATGCCACTAAACGCCTCTGTAAGACACAGTCTCCCAGTAGGTCTCCAAGTAAGGCATAAAAAAGGAATATCAACAACACAGAGAAATCAATATCATGCAAGCACAGAATGTTCTTTTTAACTACATAAATCTATTTTAATTTTCCTCATTTGGAAAAAACACATGTAAGAAATAAATCGCTAACTTCAATAAAGCTCAAAATGCTCATTAAAAACATCTTTGTTAAAATCACTAAAATGATAAAAATCAGGATGCATTCCTAAGGATGAAAAGAAAAGGCATGCTCTGTATAATCCAAATGGTTAGAAATGAAAATACATCCCTCCACATTGTTATTTTACTCGCTGGAATTGGGTCCACTAACATTAGATAGAATAATAAACAGTTTGGAAAGCAAAAGTGGAGCATTTTCAGATGATTCAATGCTAGCAGGGTATTATATTACTAAGGTGTCTAAAACAGAATGTCAAGATACTGATGCCATATGCGTTCAGAATTCAGACTTAGTGCAATCCTGACCATATAGGCTCACTCTCTGGAGCTTACCTGTTTAAATAAGATGCCAGCATGATCTGGCTGAAGCACTTGACTTAATATTCATGCAGTTAGGACACAAAACAAAAGGAAAGAAGTGTGGCTAAATGTATATAATGCATTTGAAATAGGTAAAAGATAGAACCCTGGACCCTCAGCAATCTTTACCTGGAAATTAAAGAGGGCAGAAGCAATCCTATTATGCATTATAAACAGCCCAGGTGCTGACTTAATGGTAGTTTGGGTAGCATAACCAAGGAGTCCTTGCTCCAATATTAATAGGAAATGTATTGTACAAATCCAATAGTTCATGAAATTAACAAGGAAAATGTACTGGGGTGAAGCAACTTTGCAAGTAATAGGGAGGCATCAGCAATTGCTTTCCTGGAGCATACTGAACACTTAAAAAGAGCTCAGGGGGAGTAGGTGTACATAAATGAGAAAGGACATTACTGGAATTTTTAATAATCCTCTTAATTTAAATATATTTCAGATTCTCTGTTGGTTGCAAGTCTTTTCAAGAGGAAGCTATTAGCTCAAAATGCCAATAAGAGGTCAAGGGCTATGAGACCTGGTCCATTGTTATTGAAAGTTAGCTGCCATTTCAATCAGTCCAAAACTACCGTAAACTTATGATTTGACAGCTGTCAAAATTATCCCCACATCACTTTTGTAGAACTAAATACTTCCAGAAGATTCCGGAAAACAATTTCGCTTTTATAAATATCAACAGCATGGATGATATATGCATGTGCATTGACAAGCCAAAATGTAGAGTTAATTCAACTTACAAACCAATAGACATACGATGGAAGAGAACATTTTCCTCACAGACACTTCCATGGACAAGCTGACTGAAGCTGGCCTTGACCAAACAAGAAGCTGGAAGGGTTTCCATAGAAGCAAGAACGTGACTTCTATTTTTCCCGGACAGAGACCCATCCAAGTCTTCCAAAATTGCTGCATGAGGAAATGGAAATGCTACCAAGTTTGGAGAGTTTGTAAACTTCAACTGGTTGGTCTTGACAGTAAATCCACCTATAAATTGGAAGAAAGACTGTGATGCAGTGACACCAAAGAATATGATCACAAATGGCAACTGAACTCACGGGAATATTTTCAGTATTCTAAATTGCATATTTATACAGTTTTACAATCCACTCAATTTATTCAAGAAAAAAAAAATCCTAGGTGTTGACTATATGCCAGGCTCTGTGCTATGTACTGGAGAGAGAGGGAAACAGGAACAGTAGCGGCATTGCCCTCATGCAGCCTGTATTCTAGGGCAAGGATTCTCAACCGGGAGTGGTTTGCCCTCCAGGGGACATTTGGCACCACCTGCAATCATTTTTGGCTGTCACAACTGGGTGGATGGCAGGGCTACGAGCATCTGGTGGGTAGAGGCAAGGATGAGGCTAAACGTTCTATAATGCACAGGACAGTTCCCACAACAAAAAGTTATCCAGGGACTTCCCTGGTGGTCCAGTGGTTAAGACTCCGTGCTTCCACTGCAGCGGGTGCGGGTTCCATCCCTGGTCCGGGAACTAAGATCCCCCATGCTGCTCTGTGCAGCCAAAAAAAAAGTTATGCAACCCCAAATGCCATAGTGCCAAGGGTGAGAAATTGTGGTCTAGTGGGAAATGATGACACATAACATTAATTGACTAATTATTAAACGCTAAAATTGCTGTGGGTTAGTCTCTCCATCTTTCTGCTCTAGTTCCTCTATGGCAAACCGAACCCCACTTTTTATGAGATTTATACTTTAATCATTTACCCTCAAAAGCAATATTCAATCAATCACGTGGGTAGATAGTAATAGTAACATTTTTCAAATACTAGCTCTAGGGCTACACTTCTTAGCAGGGTTTCCCTCATGCCACCTCCATGTGATTCACTGTGATTCTGTTGCCAGTCCAGTTGCCCAGGAAGAAATGATGGCAGTGGTCTAATACTCACCTTCCTGTCATTAAAATTTAAAAATTCAGTACACATCTCTTAGTATATATGCTACCATATTACTATATTATATACCTTATAAAATACACCAAAAAAGGAAAATTTTAAAATAAAATATTGATACAAAGAGAGGCCCTAATGCTTTCATTCTCATCCCTGTAGTGTCCATGGACTGAATTGTCACACATTCAAGATGCCACGATTCCACCTCTGGCAACTTCTGTAGTTCATCTAATACCACAAGCAGCTCTACGATTCAGTTATACTGGATTTCTTTGCAATTCCCCAATCATAACTTGCTCTTTGGAATTTTTTTTGCATATGCTGTTTCTAATACATAGAAACTTTTCTCTGCCTATTCCTCCTTGCAAACTTCTCTTCACCTTTCTAAATCCTGCTCCAGGCACTCTATGATGAAATCTTACCTGACCCCTTACCTTGCTCCCCTCACTGACCTTGCTCAATCCTCTAGTACTGGACTTATCACACTATTACAATCGCTGGCTTAGACATTTATTTTTGTGCCTAGATGGAGAGACACTGGAAGACAAGAACTATGTGTTTTTCATCTCTGCACTGCCCAGTTCCTTAAACCGAACCTGGACTAGACAATTTTTAAACAAATGAAGGAGATGGCTCCGCCAAGACCATCCAGTGGGAAGAGATTAGCGCTCATAAGGAGCAGGGTGCTTTTTTTTCAGTGTCTTATGAATGATATGAAACAGTGAAGCTGTTAAATGACTGAGGAATTATGATTTGAAGTGATTGCCATAAGGCATTTTTCATTCCCATTATTATTTCTACAATCTTAAACTCAGATGCCACCCAAGTAAAAACAATATTTGGCTCTGCCTATGGCAGGGGGGCGGGGGGGGGGGGGAAAGCACAGTGGAAACTTGCTGATTATTCATTTAATTAAAAAAACAAACAATTATCTAAATTGGTGATTCAAACCACAAGAGCATGTTTACTTGAATCACTTGGTTTGTCTGTTTACAATGATCAAATCAACTAGATAGCTCTCTGCTTCTTTTCACCTTGGCCCATGAGTTCTCCAAGGTTATTTCTCACTGCCTCTGAGATGTGGTTAACAAGTGGACAAGAATTCCTATGGTGCATACAACAAGTCTTGGGCTGTTGCAAACATAAAGTACCTGAACTCTGGCTCTTTCAGGAAAGCTTGCATGTGTGTTAGTTTATATCCATATGTCTATCCGTCCAGTTCCATTCATTGATTTAATCAATGAACCTACTGGGCATCATAGGCTACTAGTTAACTAATGATAAAACTCTGAGCAAAAGAGATGTGATCAGATATAGAGAACAAACTGGTGGCTAGGTTGGGGCAAGATGGGGGAGGGGCTCAAGAGGGACAAACTAGTATGTATAAAATAAATAAGCTACAAAGATATATCATAGAGCCCAGGGAATATAGCCAATATTTCATAATAACTTTAAATGGAGTATAATCCATAAAAATATTGAATCACTATGTTGTACACCTGAAACTAACTGTAAATCAACTCTACTTCAATAAGAGAGAGAGAGAAAGATGTGATCCCTGCCTTTATGAAGCTCAGAGTCCAGCAGAGACATGGCACCATAGTCATAGAGTGTGATAGGCACCATATAGGGAAAGACTGGGGAGCTGCAGGAGCCACATTGGGAGCACCTGGCCTCCTCTAGAATTTCTCTTAGGAGATTTGAGCAGCAGTTTCAACTAATGCAATCTTATAACTAAAAAAACAATGAGTCACAATGGCTTTTGCCACTATTTATCACATTTATGTGAGTACTCGCCTTATTCACTATCTACCTTATCTACTCAACTTACCCTGTCCTCGGGAACAGCCTGAACAGGTCCTGATGGCCACACAGTCAGTGAGATCAAAATTCACAAAGGTTGTGTTAGACACTGTCAGTTCCCATCTTTTGGGAGTTTTGATCCCAGCTGACATACACAGGCTTCCCTGTGATTTAGAAGGGGGACAAAAGGGAAGAAAAATAAGGGGACTGGCCACATGAAATACAGTTTTAATACATGAATAAAAACAATTGAGTAAAAAGACAAACTACAGACTGGGAAAAATGTTTGCAAATCAAATATATGACAAAGGATCACAATGAAATATGCTACACACCTGTTAGATGGCTAAATGAAAACATAGAGACCGTACCAAGTGCTGATGAGGAAAAGAAATAAATGAACCTCTCATCCATTGCTGGTGGAAATGCAAAATGGTACAACCACTTTGGAAAATAGTTTGGCACTTTCTTACAAAATTAAACATACTCTTAACATTGACCTAACAACTCAACTCCTAAGTGTTTACCTTAGAGAAATGAAAACTTATGTTCATACAAAACCCTTACACAAATGGTTAAAACAGTTTTCTTTGTAGTCAATCACCAAATCTGGAAACAACTCAAATGTCCTTCAACAAATGAGTAGGTAAACCTGCGGTAGATCCCTATAGTGGAATACTGCCCCACAATAACAAGGAATAAAATACAAGTTAGATAAATACTAAAGGATTCGGGAACGAAAGAAGCCAGTCTCAAAAGGTTACATACTATCTTATTCCATTTATATGATTGTTGAAAAGAAAAAGCTATAGTGACAGAGAATACATTAGTGACCTCCGAGGGGTTAGACATGAGAAGAGGATGTGGCTACAGAAACGGAGTCAGAGGGAGGTTTTTTCAGGCTGATGCAACTGTTCTGTATCTTGATTGTGGTGTTGGTAGTTACAGAAATCTACACATACGTTAAAATTTATAGAATTGTATATCAAAAAAGTCCATTTTACTGTATGTTAATATAAAAATAAATAGTAAAAAGTCTAAAAAGAAACAAAAACTGCTTCCAGGATTTTCCACAAAATCTCTTCAACAGACTCCATCTAATCAAGCTGTTAGTGCTTCACTGTTCTGCTGCTAAAGATAATTGTCTGTCTGAGGATCACCAGAAATTGTCAAGGGTCTCCAGCATGGAAGACTGTGATAAAAAGAAACAAAAAGAAGAAAAGAAACCCAGTGGAGACAAAGCCAGTATAGAAATCAGAAGAAAACTTAAAAACTCATTAATAACATCAGAGAAATAAGAATATCATGTGCATGAAACAAGAAGAAGCCTAAAAAGGAATATTTCGGAAAAGAAAAAGAAAACAAAAACAGGAGAGCAGTAATAATAAATTCAATAGAAAAAATGAAATAACTTAGAAAGTAGGATAAAAAGGCAGTGGGGCAGTGGGAAATCAGAGAGAAAATTAAGAAGATTAGATAAGTAATTTAGAGAGCCAATATCCAAATAATAATAATTTCAAGAAAAAGGAAAATATATAGGAGATAAGTATCAAAGAAATAAGTGAAGGAAACTTCCCAGAAGGAAAGGATATGATTTTCCACAGTGAAACGTCTGGCCCAGAGCCTAATACAGTGGTTAGAAGAAAAAGCCACACAGCAAGGTACACCATATTGAAATTGCAAAATACCAGGGACAAGGGCGAGACCCTAAAAATTTCCAAAGAGGAAAAACTAATAGGTTACATATAAAAGACCTAGAATCAGAGTATCTAAAAACTCATTTCTTTTTGCAAAGTGATTCAGCATATATATATGGTTTTTAAAATTATTTTCCATTATGGTTTATCACAGGATATTGAATATAGTTCTCTGTGCTATACAGTAAGACCTTGCTGTTTATCCATACTATATATATATAATGGTTTGCACAGAGTATCTGAAAACTCTTTAACCTCAAGACTAGAAGCTAGGAGACAATGAAGAATTGCCTTCAAAACGTCAAGGCAAAATGAACTCCAACCTAGTAGTCTATAGCCACAACCTTCCAAGAAGGGGGTCTCCATTTGTAGGTCAAAATCTTTAACTTCCATAGACCCCCAGTTAGTTAAGAAAGTTACTGCAGGCTAATAAAATGAGAATTAAATCAGAAAGGAGGGAGACAGGGGAATCAGGAACAAGAGTTCCAATACTACAGAGACATGAAGAAAATCTCCAGAATGTTGGTCAAGAGAAATTCCAAGACCTAGCTATGAAACCCTTTTCTCACACTGCTGGTACAAGTTTAAATACTTGTAATTGTTGTTTGTCGTTTGGCATTGGCCACTGAAGCTGAAGGGATATACTCTGAGCCAGCAATTTTACAATCTGGCACATGTTCAACAGAAATGCATGCTTGTGAACACCAAGAGACATATACAAGATTGTTCATAACATCTTTCTCTGTAATAACCTAAAACTGGAAACAAGCAAATGTGCATCAAGAGCAACATAGCTTTAAAAAATTGTGATAGAGTCCATGAAGTGGAATACTACGTAACAATGGGAAGAATAAATGATTGCAACATATAAAAACATGGATGAATCTCACAGACATAATGTTATGCCAAAGAAGCCAGGCACAGAAGAGTTACATGATTTATGATTCCATTTATATAAAGTTCAAAAACAGATTTGAAATTAACCTATGTCTGAGAAGTCTAAATAATGGTTCTCCTTTGGCTTGGGGGCTGGGGGTTGGGTTAACTGGGAGCAGGCATGAAGGGGTTTCAGAGGAATTGGTGATGTGCTATTTCTAGATCTGGGTGGTATGCACGTGGTTTTTGCTTTATAAAAATTCATTGAGCTCTTCACTTGTGATTTGTGCACTTTCCCCCATAAACGTTATATTTCCATGAAACAATTTGTTTTAAAAGGTGGGACAATACTAGAGAAAAATAATGTATAAGATGGGAGGGTGAAGAAAGAAGTTAGAGAAGTTTAAGGTCCTTGCATGGCTCATGTAAATAAGTGCCGATGTAATTAAGACTTTGTGAAGACGAGCAGGTGTGTCACAAGTTTAAGTCCAACGTGAACAATCAAAACAGAATGAATAACGTTCGAATGAGTAAATATAAAAAAGATATCATTCAATGCAGGACAAATCAAGTTCCGAAAGCAGAAAAAAAGAAACATAGAAAACGGAGTGCAAACTGAAAGCACGAAATAAGATGGTGGAAATAAATGCAAATATGTGGGAGACATCAGCATGTGGATGGTAATAACTGAAACCACTAGAGAAAATGAGATTTCTCCCAGGGAGAGCAAGTATATGGAGAGAAGAAGGGGCCCTACGATAGAATTTAGACAAACAAAAAGATGAAAAGTCTAAACTGGGGAAGAGAAATCCACAAGTGAAGATGAGGAGTAACCCTGAGACAAATAGGAGAAAGAATGAAGCATCCCCAACAGCATCTGTCCGAATAAGACTTTTTTTTTAAAGTAGTATCATCTGCTTGAATTAATTACAAGAACAACAAAAAGGCAACCATCCTACAGTTACTTCCAAAAGTAGGATGACCATAATTTACACCCAAATCAGGACATCCTGAAGAGTGTGAAAAGGGGTGCTAATTAGATGGAAGGCTAGGACCGCACAACAAACAAAACCACACAGCCAATCTAGCATGTATAGTGATGGTTAGCACACCTCCTTCTCTTGCATAATAAAGCTGTCCTCACTGAAAATTATTCTACCCATCTCAGTAACAAGGTAATGCTGGGTATGAGGCATACACAAATATGCCTAAAGGAAAAAAAAATCCTTTTTCCTTCCAGAGAAAACTTAGTTTTCTTCCAGAAACTAGTGTTTGTTTTAGAATAAGACTCACTGATAGCAGAAACTAACACAATATTGTAAAGCAATTATACTCTAATAAAGATGTTAAAAAATTTTTTTAATAAAAATAAATTTAAAAAGACTCACTGATAATTGTGTGTCACCAATTATACACGGGTGGAAGGTCTAAGAATAGTTAAGCCAAATTCTCTGAAAATTTTAATTCCTAAAGAAATGGCAGGTTTGAAAGAAAGAGGCTAAAATCAGATTTCCACAACCACAGAGAGGTTTGGCATCCTCCTTTTAAAAAAAAAACAAACAATTAACACAGTTTTATACAGCAATAAAGTGGTTCCCAAATAAATCTGAGCAATGTTGTGTTAACTAAAGATTCATAGATATTTTTCTTGTTTGTTTTTAACTCTAGAAATTTGTGAAGATTTTAAAGTGTTAATATGCCATGCGAGTTTCAGGGGATGGGAGGGATGGTAAACAGCATATCCTGTATGTAATTAACCTAAGGATCTTTCTTTTCTCAGAGTCTCTCTTGGAACCAGCCTTCAATGAAAAACACTTCAGAGAATACTGGAGTAGGCACTAATAAATGCTTATTGCCAAAGCCATCTTCCATATGTAATTAAACGAGTATTAGACCAGGCATGGGAAGATATCCAGGTGGTCCTAGCTCCACAATACTGGGCATGATTTTGGGCTATCATTTGACTCCCCAAAGCCTCCATTTCTTTACCTGTAAATTCAGGAGTTCTAACTAGACCAACTCTTAGGTAATATTTACCTCTAAAGTTGCATGGTTTTATGATTTGGATGCCTAATCAAGATCTAGACCTTTCCTAGAACAAGCTGTTTAACATTTTCCATCCAGGGACTTTGGTTCTGCACTCACTTGTTAGGAGACTCAGAAGCCCTCAGTTGCATTACCTTGCTGGTGAATCACACTCCAGGGGTGAGATTATTTTTTGTTATCTCATGATAAGCACCCTTTTGTCATAATCTATCTCTTAACTTATGTCACTCTCCCATGAATTATGATGTCTATTTAGCATCAGTTAGGATGTTGTGACATTGATTTGCCAGAACAGTTATTTACTCAGCTTGATGGGCATTTTATTTTTAGCATCTTCTCTATGGTTATTTCAGAGACATTTAAGGGCCTGGGTCAACCAGTATCACAGAATCTAAATCTGGGTCCCATGCTCTTTCAAAAACTATGCAACCTGAAAAGAAGAATAATCTCTCAAGGTGGTAATCCTTTCAGAGAAAAGGAAAAACTGGCAGGTATTTTCCCTCCTGAAAAGAATGGTTCAGAAGAGAAGTAATGAAGGAAGTTGGAGAATTAAATATAGGAAAATGTAGATTAGTAAGAAAATGATTTTTTTACTCTTAATGTTTGTATCTATAGCTATGAAATAGTCAAGGGAAGTACTAAAGTCAATAATTATCATTTAAATATCAGTTGATCAAAGCATTCAGAAACAAACTAAAGAGAATGCTCTTTCCTTGGTCTCCAGAAGAACTCTAGGTCCCTTCCATCTATGATTATTCTGACAATGTGACACTAATATTCATGTAACTCCTTCAAGAAAAAGAACTTGGGGGACCCGTTATAGGTCTGAAGCCAATGGCAGCCATGGACTTCCCTTGAGAACTAGTACTTCTTATCCAGGAAGTCCTCTAAGGCTCACCTACATTCTGGGCCCCTGGCCATGCAGTGGCAGGGAAGTCATCTATAGGCTGATGTTTATCATGTAGAAACCCACACTGAGGCAAGTATTAGGGAATCACATAAGAAACCGTAGTATATTAAGCAAACAATGTAAATTATATCACCTTTTTCTCTGGGGCAGGGACCCTAAATAGAGTAAGAACTCTATGAACAAAATGTTGATGTCGAAACTTGGCAAACCACAGATGCACAAAGACAATTTGGAATCACCTCATAATCCTTGTGAAGTTAGAGTAAATGACCCTAAAATTATTAGGCTTATTATTGAATTGTATGGACAATAATGCTAAATCGCAAACAAATAAGAGTTCTGCGAACCACTCAGGGCTTTTGTGATGTACATGGACACATAACATGGAAATCTTGTGTGTATTTGAATTTTATGATGAACATCACCACTGTTACAAATCAAAAGCTCCTCCAAATTTGACCAATTAAATACAAGATTTACTAAAGAATGCTATTTAAATTACATATCCTGGATTAGCAGGGGACCCAACACATGCGATTCTGTTTTGATGGACAACATAAAAGAATCACACGAAGGCACTTACCTTGGGGGCAAAATGAGCAAGTAATAAGCTGTCAGTAACTGAAGTATTTGCATCACTTTCCAAGATGTCAATTCCAAAATCTCTGCATGCATAAACCTGGAAGTTTTTCAGGTGAAGATTGCTACTTCTAAAAATCTATAAAACAACAGCATATATTATGTCAAAGGTCTGAGGCTTGGGTTTTCTTGCAGACTTCCTGTAGCTTCTTTAATTATTGATGAAGTATAAACAAGCATGCTATACCATATTTAAGCAGCTTTTGTCCATCAATATCTGTGCAGGCGTCCCAAAGTTGCCGTGAGGTCAGCACTAACTAGTCCCCTTTGGTAACATCCCCTCTATACTTTTCATTTCTCCTCCTAACAACTGATGCATTAAAAGGTCAATGTGGGGCTTCCCTGGTGGTGCAGTGGTTGAGAGTCCGCCTGCTGATGCAGGGGACACGGGTTCTTGCCCCAGTCCGGGAAGATCCCACATGCGGCGGAGCGGCTGGGCCCGTGAGCCATGGCCGCTGAGCCTGCGCGTCCGGAGCCTGTGCTCCACAACGGGAGAGACCACAACAGTGAGAGGCCCGCGTACCGCAAAAAAAAAAAAAAAAAGGTCAATGTGAATTCTTTACTTTAGTAAACTTGCAACTGTCAAGTAACACAAAATGAATAGAGAAAAACAGAGCATCCAAGAACTCCAGTACTTAACATTTTCCTCGGTGTTGTATATGTTTACTAATATTGTCAGAAAATTGTAAATATGAAATAAGTAATTCAGCATGACTACAGACTCAAAATATGTTATATGCATATATAATGATGACAGCTTGGGCTAGTGGCCCTAAACAAGGATCAAGTATTAACAAAATGAGCTTGTTAGAGTTGAATCACACTAGCCTGGGGGACAGAGCCCTTGGTTTTTACCTAGCACTCATATTAACTAATTATGTGATCTTGGGCAAGACATTTAACTTTTCCTAGGCCTCACCTCAACCACCCTGAAAATCAGGGTGCTGTTAGGACTACCAGTTAACCTTACACAGTGGCCTCTTTGTTTACTAAATAGGGTCATGCTTACGTTCGTACCTTAAAGTGGGAGTTTCCTCTTACTTAAGGCCAAGGAAGCCTTGATTTATCACAGTATGGTGCTTCTACTTGTCGATCAGTCTTTGTGCTTGAATTTTCAAGAACTGAATAGCTTGCATTTCCCACTATGTATGCGCTGACAGCTTTTATAAAATGATGGATCTTTGAAGACACGTTTATGTAAACAAAATGGGTACGATCTGAATGGATAACTTAACAACAGTTGTTACCTAATTACAGGCATCAGCCCTTCTGCAAGGCACGAATTGCTTCCCTGCAAAAGAGGGATTTGTCACCTCTATATTTATAATGCTTGTGGGAAACAAAGTACTTTATCGAATTTAATGAGAAGAAAATACTTAATACAATAGGGATTCTTCCTGTTTTGTATTTTGTATTTTGGGACTTTCCCAAAATGTTGGATAGGTGAAATAAATGCCTAACTTTCTTACTGTGACTTAATTATATGTTTTTATTCTGTTTACTGAATGCCCTAGAGATATATTTCTTCATCTGTGTATCTTAGGCTCCCTATTTCTACATGGCAGAGACCAAACGTATGTAATTTTCTCTGTGTAGCACCAAACAGTGACCCTGGATAATTTTTATATGGTGCTGGTAATAGTGAGCATACAAAGCTTTCTTATAAGACATCACTGAAATAATGAAAATTAAATGGATAACATGAACATTGTTTCCTTTCAAGGAAAATGGGAGAAAATTTGGCTCATTGATGAAGGTAAGAATGCCACCTTGAGCTGGAATTTTTGCGTTTCAGTGATGAACGGAACTTTTCCTTACAACTGAAACATGTCCTATTCAGGATATTAGGGTATCAAATGCACAACGTCTGGAGTCTGGATTCTGCACCTGGTTTTGCTGCTAACAAACTGTGTGACCTTTGGCAAATCCCTTTACTTTCTGAACCTTAATTTTTTCTCTCTAAATAGGCATGTGAGGGGAAGAACAGATGACCCCTATGATCTTTCTTGGTTGCAAATCTCTATGATTCTGTTGTTCCCTACTAGAGCTGCTGGAAAATCGCCATACAGGCAATGAACTAACCTTGGCTTGCTGACTAGGAATCTGTTCATGCAACAACTATTTCACACACATCTATGATGCTGTTGGCTCCTTAAAGCTGTGAGAATATCGCAATGCTCCCCCAACAGCAAATCATCCCCCTTTAAGTAGAGATGCACAATAAATCACCACAAGAACAAAAAACTAAAGAAACGTACCTGGGCACCACCTGCACTTCCCCAAACCGTGAAATTTTGGAACAGGGTGGGACCAGTGCCGTTATCCCAAGTTGGCTGAAACTTAGGGTATACAAAGAGGCCACACCTAGGAAGAAAGATAAAGAGTGAAATTCAGCCAATTTCTGCATTCCAAATGTCTCACTTTTTCTCACTGGAAAATATAAAACTAAAGGTACTGAATAAGGGAGTGTGAAGAGGAGACCTGCAAGCCTTCTCTCTGACTGTCATTGCCTATCCCTCAGCCTTTCCTTTCCTTTCTGTCACCCTCTGTGACCTGCTCCTGGATCTCAACAAGACACAGATTGCCATGGTCCCATTCCATTCTCTCAGCTCTTCTAGATTCATCCCCTTCCAAGGAGCATGCATACCCCTGCCTAGCCCTTCAGAACACGAGCCTCACTCTTCCATCAGTCCCTTCTAGATCCATCCCTTTGCTGAAACAGCAGATACCAGCCCCTGTAATCCCTGCAACTTTTGTGCTTCTCCCTGAAATGCCTTAGCATCGTGGTATTTTGGATATCTTCTCCCCTCACATCCCAGGGCTGCTGAGAGCTGCTAGATAAAAAACTTCATAATCTTAATAATAATTTCATGACACATGTACTAATTCTAGCCTCAGCTTCAACATAGCGGAGCAATGGTGCTTAATCCTTATTCCACTCTCCTTATCATCTCCCATCATTGCAGTATTATTTCACTATTATTAACATAACTACTATCAGAATTATTTATATCGAGGAATTCCCCGGCAGTCCAGTGGTTAGGACTCCATACTTTCACTGTTGAGGGTGTGGGTTCAATCCTTGGTCGGGGAACTAAGATCTCACATGCTGCACTGCATGGCCAAAAAAATAATAATAATAAATAAATAAACTGTTTAGTAGAATTATTTATATCAATTATTGAGTTCCTACCATATTCGAGATGTTCTCTTAGGTGCGTTATAGAAGTCATCTCTAATTTTCACATCAAACTTTCACTAGAGATCTGTCCCTATTTCACAAATAAGGGATCTAACTCTTTAAAAAAAAAAAAAAAAAGGCAGTTTACTCAGACAAAGTCCAGATTTGAATCGGGGCCTGACTGATTCTGAAGTTCACATTTTTCCCATGTTCCCACCATGTTTCCCAGTCCTTGCTCTTAGCAGATGATGACCTTATCCTCTAAATAGCAAAGACTTTGAACGAGCCCCTCTCATCTCACAGTGTGCAAGTCACAGGCAAAGAGCCTCTTCCCCAAACTTCATCTCCCCACTCAGCTCCTGAGCTCAGGCACTCTGGCTTCCCAGGTTCCCCCAGTCTGTTGGGAGTTTAATTCATCTCTCTATTGAATTCTCCTCTGGCCACAAAAGGTGCCCTCTGTCCTATGCCCCTTCAAGTGACCTCTCTCTCTTTCCCTTCCCTTCACCACCAAATTTATGATCCAAGATGCTCACTCAGACACATCATCAAATCTCACACGGATGCCAAGCATTACACAACCCTCTCTGTGAGTGTTGTGCAAAAAAAATGTTAAACCATAATGCTTACACCCAAAATGTAGATGAACTTCCCCCAAGTTACCTCGTACAAGCATGTGCACTGTTCCGGGTAAAGGAAAGAAGTGGAGCTTGGGATGTTTGGTTGGTCACAAGGTGAAAAAAGTAGCCATAGCCAGCAGCACACACCCTGTTTCCCTATGGAAATTAAGGATAGTTAAATCATAGTCAGTCCATTACAATAAGGCTGCTGGAAAGAAACACTCTTCTATGTGCTCATTCTGCCTTTTCACTTACTTGCTGCCAAGGTATATTGATATACCTTGGGTCAAAAATACGCTCATTCCAATAAAGAAGATGTGGTGTGTGTATATAGAGATATATAGAGATATATACATACACACACACACACATACAATGGAATATTACTCAGCCATTGAAAAGAACAGAATAATGCCATTTGCAGCAGCATGGATGGATGGACCTAGAGATTATCATACCAAGTGAAGTAAGTCAGACAGAGAAAGACAAACACCATATGATATCACTTATATGTGGAATCTAAAATACAACACAAATGAACATATCTATGAAACAGAAACAGACTCACGGACATAGAGAACACACTTGTGGTTGCCAAGGGGTGGGGGAGCAGGAAGGATTAGGAATCTAGGATTAGCTGATGCAAACTATTATACATAAAATGGATAAACAACAAGGTCCTACTGTATAGCACAGAAAACTATATTCAATATCCTGTGATAAACCATAATGGAAAAGAATATGAAAAAGAATATACGTATGTGTAACTGAGTCACTGTGATGTACAGCAGAAATTAAACACAACATTGTAAATCTAAAAATATATATATATGCTCATTCCTCTTCCTCCAGGCAGTTCAATTTGACTGTACTTTGTCCACCTCAACAGCTGGCATCTCATGTTAAAACGTCCTTGTAAATTTCCACGGTGAGAAGCTTACTTGTGTCACTTCATACAAGCTCTCCTCTTTAGTGTGTAAAAAATACTCGGGAGCAAAGTCGTCCCTAAAGCCAAGTCTCCACAGAGTGTTCTCTCTGATCCTTTGAACAGAAGAAAAAACTGAGATTATCTGCAATGGTTATTTAATATCAGTGTAGATGGTAAGGGATATGCACGTTGGGATGAGACACAGAAAAGGGTTAGAACTGAAAGAGGAAGTTCTGACCCACTCAAGGACAGAGCTCTTCCTCCCAGCCTTTTAGAGAGCTCGAGGAGTTTAGTATACTACACTGTGAGTAAGGATTAAGACCAAAGACCGCAATCACACCCTTTGAATCATAGCTGTTCTCTGTTTATCCTTAGGTTAGCAAACTCATTTCATCCCATAGCTTCAGCCATTCTAGACTAATATTTTATTGGCTTTAATTTTTAAATGAAAGGACTTTAGGTATTATTAAAGGCAGCATTCTGAACCTGGGTGACCCACTGGCAGTCATTATATAGCAGTACTCCCTACAGAAGGGGATTTTAAAAAGTCTGTTCCTCTCTGGGAGTGCCACATGTTCCACACGCATGGGCGCACACGCACACACACAAACACACACACATACGCACAAGCACACAGAAGCAAGCAAAGTCAGTATGGAAGAAAAACTGAAGTAGGATGTTTTAAAACAATCAGTACTCAACTCCTGGCTTATGTGAGAGAAGGTACCCCAGCACCTGGAGGCCGTCAGCCTCTGGAGAAGTATGAATGAGGGCCAGAGGTGACACTGAGACGGGAGGCCTGGCCAGCAGGCAGCAGCTGGGACCTGGCCAGGGGAGCCAGCTCGTGCTGACACAACCACAGGTACTGCTTCCTGAACATCAGCCGGTAGTTCACTGTGGGCACTGAAGGCCCTCTCACCCTGGGTATCTGTAATCCACCGGCCATGCCTCCTCTTTCACTCCATTACAGAACGCCTTCTTTCTTTGTGCGCTAGTGGCCCATTCGTTACTGCACTTCATTCTTTTGGATTCTAAGCATTTCTCCAATTTTCTGAGGCCACTTAAAATTCCAATCACATGTCTTACCACATACTAAAAGAAACTTTTGGACATCATTGAATATGAAGCTGAATCACTATTCAAGATGTTAACATGACTTCAGGACACCTGGGACACACCTCTGGGACCCCAGTTATCTTGGGGTGGCAGAGTCTGGAGCTGTGGTTGTCAGCCAGGGATGATACTGTTCCCCAGAGAGCATCTGGAAATCTCTGGAGACCGTTTTCATTGTCACCCTCGGAGGGAGAGGGGTTTTACTAGTATTAAGTGGATAGAGACCAGGGATGCTGTTATATAGAGGACAGCCTCTCACAAATGTGAGAGGCCCCAAATGTTAATACAAGCACGGTTAAAAAAAAAAAAAAAGTCTAAAGTCTTCACTTGTTCTTGAAATAACCCATACCCACTTTCCAGTATCCCATCTCCACATTTTGATGGAAAGGCCAAACTAAATATAAAAACATGGTTAATTACGATAAGAATACTTTGACAGTTTTTACTGGGAGGGCATTTATATCTTTTTAAACAACCAAATCTGCCACTAGACACTCCCCCAAAGAACACTTACTGGCATTGCATCAGTTATCTCATTCTTCCCTCGTGCTAGAAAACAAGACGTGCACTTATGATCCTCAGTTTTGGAATAATCACTGCCATTGGGCTGGCAAATACAAGCATCCAACAGAAGCACCAAATACAAGTGCCCTCACAGAAGCACAAGCAAGTAATATGGCTGTGTTTACGGAGCTCCACCTTCCACAGAGCCGGCGTTGAGCGGCTGTGTCTCTACCACCCCCATGAGCCACGAGAAAGGCCATGAGTATATAAGAATTGAGGGTTAGGGAATGGGGGCTTCTGAAACACCCACCTTTTCTGCAAGTATACAAACAATAAGAAAGGTGCACTGGGACTTCCCCGGCGGTCCTGTGGTTAGGTCTCTGCACTTCTACTGCAGGGGGTTTGGGTTCAATCCCTGGTCAGGGCACTAAGATCCCACATGCCTCGCAGCACAGCCAAAAAAAAAAAAAAAGAAAGGTGCACTAGAGGCTAGAAATGATCATCTCACTTGGACATACATCTCTATTTCATTACCAACAAGATGCTAATTCATTACCATGACTCCACGAGGAAGGGAAAGATTCAAACATATGCAGAATATATTTCAAGGACTTCATCCTTACTCATCACCTTGGCCATACAGGTGCTCAAAGAGCATGTATTTTGACTGAATGAACAGATTTGTTGAATCATCTTCCGTGGTGTCAATAGTATTTTTGGAGCATCTGGGTGGTCATGTATAAATGCTTTCCAAGTGCATTTATAGTCGGGCAGGATATTGCAACTTCGGTCTTCTGTTAGCCAATAAGGCTCACTTTTCTTTTAAAAGAAGCACTTGAACAGTCAGATGACATTACTTTCCAGTCCTTTTTACTCTGCATTCCAGTTGGGTATGCTACAAACGATTTGTGAGCAGAAACCACATATGTATGCAGGCAGCCGGCGGCTTGTGGGGAAGGGTTTAAGGCAAGCAGGGAATTTTGTGTGGAAATCAATTCTTTGCGGAAGTCAATGTATTATGGACATTCAAGCAAGAGAAATTCCAGAGAGAAATTAACTGCCCAAGTAAGCCAGTTCCTTGTGGTGTGCATCTGTAGTCACTAAAAAAAAAAGTGAGTTAACCCTTCAGGCAGCTCTTAAATATACATTAGCTATTGAGTGGAGAGAGCTAGAGAGCTGAAATCGGCCTTTAAACACAGAATTCCTTACAAAATTGATTCACAAACTAGAACAAATTCCCCTCAAATTAAATGGATGTTTTCAAAGGGCTGGTCTTCAGGGGGTTTCTGTTGGCTGTTCTAAACAGGGGTCTGGTCATGGGAAATGTCCAACGCCCACAGACACATGGGATATTCTGGAGCTCTGGGAGTGAACAGTCTCTCGCTGATGGAGAGCAAAGACCTTCCAGCCTGAGGTCAACATAGGTTATGTCTCCTGGAAAGACGAAGCCTCTGGACAGATAAGAAACACCCATAAAGGAGTCAGAGACTCAGATGCTGGAGTGCGGTGGGGAGACAGCCTGGAAATGAAGTGCTCCGGACACTGCAAGGTGATGCATGCAAAGCCTGTCTAAGGAGTATACAAAGGATTTTCCAAGTTCCTTGTACATTCAGATGGGAATATCGTGTTGAGTCCTCACCAGCAAGAAGGCACAAAGCTCAGGTTTTGCTTCTCAGAAAAACTGCCCTGGACCTGGCTCAGCAGCAGCCTGGGCAGGGAGGCAGGCAGACCACTTGTGGCTATGAAAACTAAAAAGGAATATCGCACTTGAAATCCCCTCATACCAAGCAGGGTTGAGGGTGAGTGAACTGTAAAGATGGCTTCCTGGGAGCCCAGGTGAATTCCACGCACTGGGCAGAGCATTTGGTCCTAGGCTCTGTGTCTGAGCATTCCAGGAACAATGTACAACCACAAATAACTGCAGAGACTTAATTAAGGATCAGCTCCGTTTCTTCCTGCCTACCTGCCAGGCCAGAGATTTTAAGGTCAACTTCTGTATGTAGGAGAGAGGGTTTAGGCTATCTGGATTGGTTGCCCAGCCACTAGGATTAGGTCACCTTCAAGTCTAAATAAGGGCTTTCATTTACATAACAGTCTTGTCCCAATGTCCATTTCCAGGTTTTGCCATTGCTCTGTGGCGATGGTTATGGTTATGTTACCATTGGGGGAAGCTGGCGGGAGGACACACAGGAACTCTCTGTTCTATTTTTGCAACTTCTGAGCCTAAAATTATTTCAAAATTAAAAGTTTAAAAAAGAAATAGCCTAATGAATCACAGTAATACAGTGGCTTTAAAAAAATCTTTTGCCAAACTGAAAGGAAACTGAAAAGCAAGGTGGGTAAAGGGGTCACAAAAACTGAGCACATGCAAGGCTTGGCTCGATCCTCTTAAGGGGCAGTCAGCTCTGAACCACTCACAGAGCAGAACATAAACGCCATGCCCCGTGAGACAGTTCCTCACAATATAAGGGATATCTCTCTCTTGAGCATCAGAACAACACTGGAAGAGGATAGGTTTCTGACACACACACACACACACACACCCCTCACCACTACCACTGCCATCCTTATCGTTGTTGTAGCCTCCTTATTATCACTCTGGGATTAAAATACATTTCTAAAATATATTTTTCAAAGCACTCTGTGTATCATCCACATAGGACACACCTAATAAACACTAGCTTACTTTTTGCCCACTGACTGAAATGACCTTCGTTGGCACTAAGAGAAATTCCTACTTTTTAGGTTCTGACACACACTCCCAGCCACGCCTATGTCCTTGGTTGTGGCACACTCCAGACAATAGACTGAAAGAGACAGCACAGTGGAACCCCAGGGGCGCAGCTGCAAAACTGGAGAGGACTGTGCAAAATTTAACACTGAGAGGTGAATTCCACAGGATCTAAATGCTGACACAGATGAAACATCTTACTTGTCAGTCATCAAAATGATTGCGGGATCTTGGAATCTATTCTTTATTTTCCTTTTTCTTCCCCCTATTCTTTGATTATGGAATTATACCTACAGCCATTCATTCATTAATTCTTACTAAGCAACTATTATGTTTCAGATGCTGTGATAAGGTCTAAAAGTTAATAAGCGAATGAAAAGAGAACAACAGAATTTTAAGATCAATAAAGGTGAAAATGTCAGGAATTTACCTAATGAATATACTTAATGAATTTACATTACCAGCTTAAACTAAAATCTCATTCTCCAAACACATGCATTGTATTATTTTTCAATTTTGTAAAGTGGATATAAGAGGAAGAAAGTAAATGGATGGAAAGGGAAGGCATCTAACAGAGAACAAACAATTTGTTTTGGGCTCAAATTTTTCATTGCTTTCTAGGCACTGTTCTGCAGGTCAGTCTGCAAAGACTCAAGTGACCTGTAAGTTTGTAGGTGGCTCTCTGGTTCTCTGCACCTATATAGCCAGCTCATTTCTTTTGTTTTGTTTTGCTTGTTTGTTTTGTGTTAGTTTCAGGTGTACAGCAAAGTGATTCAGTTATATATACATTATATATATATGTATGTGTATATATATATATACATATATATATATTCTTTTTCAGATTCTTTTCCATTATAGGTTATTGCAAGATATTGAATATAGTTCTCTGTGCTATACAGTAGGTCCTTGCTGTTTATTCACTTTATATATAGTAGCTGGTATCTGTTAATCCCAAACTCCTAATTTACCCCGCTCCCCCATTTCCCCCTTGGTAACCATAAGCTTGTTTTCTGTTTGGGAGTCTGTTTCTGTTTTGTAAGTAAGCTCTTCTGTATCATTTTTTTTTAGATTCCACATGTAAGTGATATCATATGGTATTGTCTCTTTCTTTGACTTACTTCACCTTAGTATGCTAATCTCTAGGTCCATCCTTGTTGCTGCAAATGGTATTGTTTCATTCTTTTTATGGCTGAGTAATATTCCATTATATATATATTATATATATATATTTTATATATATATATATAATATATATATATATACCACATCTTGTTTATCCATTCATCTGTTGATAGACACTTAGGTCACTTCCATGTCTTGGAAGCATTGCAGATAGTGCTGCTATGAACACTGGGGTGTACGTATCTTTTCAAACTAGATATACGCCCAGGAGTGGGATTGCTGGGTCATATGGTAACTCTATTTTTAGTTTTTTAAGGAGCCTACATACTGTTCTCTGTGGTAACTGCTCGTCGGCTCATTTCTTACTAGTCAAGTAGTGGCCAGAACACCCACCCAGGAGGCAATGAGCTACCCAGTGAAGCAAAGCCAGGCAGCACCTCTGACACTCAACGTGGGATTTAGATACATTCCAGCCTCCCGAAGGAAAATGACCTGGGCAACCCTGAGGGTCTCCTACTTCAGAGTAGTCAAGATTATGTTACCCAAGAAACTAGGCAAAAACATAACTCTTTAGTCCCCAAAGCTTGCTGGCATAATTGTGCAGCAAGCCCTGTGGTCACCAACAAGTTAAACGTCACTCTCATTGTTCTGCGTCTACAGGCTGGTCTCCTTCAATCCATGCACTGCTGCCTCCTGTCCTCACTGGCACATTAGCTGCCCCCGTTAGGCACCGAAAATAGTGTGTAAGCACTGTGCTTGGAATAAAGGTAACTAAGAGTCTGGCGAAGGGTTGAGAAGATAGTCATGACTTTTATTAGGGGTTATTCAGCTGAGGGTAATTAAAAACAGATGATCAGAGAGGGAGAAGTTCCTTCTCTCCGGTCCTCAGAAACTTGGCATAACTGTCATGACACAGTAGGTACTCAGAGCCGAGTCCCGAAGAGTGAGACCCTTAACCCTTTCATAGATGGTCCATGGGACAAAATTATTGGAAAAGGGGAAACTAAATGGCCTTCCCACTACTCTGATGCAATTCCTCATTCACGGATCTATCGTTAAACTACCAGAAAAATTAATTTCTTAAAGTGTTTAGAGAGAAATTTACCAAGAAGAAGTAATGTTAAGTTGTATTAAATAATGGGATAAAAATCCAAGGCCATCAGAGTGTATAGCTGACCCTTGAATAATGCAGGGGTTGGGAGTGCCAACCCTCTACACAGTCAAACATCCGCATATAATTTATAGTCCACCTTCCATATATATGATCCCTCGGTGTCCATGGTTCCATGTTCAAGGATTCAGCTAACTGTGGATAGTGTGGTAGTGTAATATTTACTATTGAAAGAAATCCAAGTGTAAGTGGACCCATGCAGTTCAAACCCGTGTTGTTCAAGGGTCAAATGTAATTCATTCATCCTGGAATGTGATGTGATCTCACACACCTCGTGACTGCTGACCCTCAGTTTTGAACACCCTTAAAGGGCAACAATATGACCACATTAGTATAGTAACATAGTGAAGATTTATTAAGTCATTATTATTGGAATCGAGACCAAATTCAGCAACCACGGCAGATGGCTCAGGAAGATATTTTACTTTGCATTAATCTAAATGACCAGAAAATAATCAGTATCTACTTTGTTTTGCTTTTTATAAATATTGCTTCAAAGTGTGTTCACAGGAATTCTGAGGGAAGTGATAGCATTTATCCTAAAGCACTGTTTAACCCAAAATCATAAAGTAGTTTCCTGTTACCACTGTGCAGCTAGTAGATGCTGCATTCCACACCACTGATGCTGCCACTCTGGATAACTTCCGGAGTGAATTTTATGCCTCTCATTTCTGATCGTCCTGGAAGCTGAAGATCTTACCTCTACAACATTGGTGGGATCGCGGATGTAGATACCAGAGGGTGCCATCATTTCAGTACTGGAAAGTCCCTCGGCGCCAGAAACACTGATGATCACATTGTTTCTTATTATATTCCCCTGTTCTGACCAGTCTAATTTAAGAAAAGGGGATTCACCAACATAATTAAAATGTACTCAACTCAACGTTCTTATTTCTACTAATACACGTTATAGTTCTCTTCATGCATATACGTATATGTATATATATAAACATCTAGTGTGTTCAACAAATTTAAGATATCTAACATACTGCCAGCAGGCTTGTCTATAAAATGTATGACGACTTAAATGGATGGTAACAGTTTTAAAACCAATTTACATATTTACCATTTTCTCTTCCAGGAATAACCTCCCAAGGGATATACCTTATCTCGGGGGGTGTACCTGAGAACAAAAGATCATGTTAGCTCAGCACGTTTCATGCCACCCAGGAAAATGAGAGATGCTGAAATACTATTTCTTTTTCTTGGTGTGGCTTGTTTTGATTTTGTGTTGTGTTTTTATCTATGAACCAGACAAACAGATTCAGATTATGTGACCTTTTTAGTTCTAGAGTATCATGAATCAGAAGCTCATTTTAAATTAAAAAAATAATAACAAAGAGATAGATCTACCGTTTTACTTCTTAGGAAGAGTCTGACTGTCTTCGTAGTTAAATGTCACACACCCCTGTGTCAGGTCCAGCCCCATCCTTAGCTATTTGAATTGGTCACCAGCCATCTGCATGCCCTTCTCTTCCCCTGGAAGAGCAGGAATGTCCTGGAGGAACAGGCTGGACAAGACCTGAGACCCTCACAGTCAAACCAGAGGTTTGAAATAGAAGAGAATAAAAGAGCACGGGCCATGCTACACAGAGATCAGCCACTTATGTGGTATCCACACAGAGCAACCCCACAGACCCCCTTTCTTCTAGGTCTTTAGGTGTCTGGGCTTCCCATGTCACTTCATGAGTCTGAGTTTGCAAACTCATCTTGCATGGATGTACATTAACTAAAATGCACTGACAGATATTCTAATTCCATCACCTGTAATGCAGTAGATGTCAAGAGCCTCCAATTCATGATATCCAAGTACTCAAGGCCAAATTCCTCCTGCAGGTTTTCTTCCTTGCCTAGTTAATTCCATATAATTGTTTCCTCCTAAAATAATATTGTTAGGGTACCTCCCTGAATTTCTGCTCCAGGTTTCAAAAAACTTTTCCCTTACAGCAACAAAAGTAAGAATAAGCAAAGTCAATCCTCCACATGTTAGTCTGGCTGCCCTGTAGCTGTCCTTTTCCAATCAAAAGATTTTCCTTCACCTGATGACTTCTATTGTCCTTAGCTCTTTGCCTTTTCGAGCTTGAGTTAGTTTACATGATCCATAATTTCCCACTAAACAGTTTCCCTCTCGGTGTTAGAACCTTTCTAGCGTTTATCTTAACAGATCATTCCTAAATGAAACATACACATTTTCTCACTGATGATATCACAGAATTTATTTAAATAGAAAACACTATCTAACAAGTACAGTTAGAGTCTTACTTTCTGTGAAAACCTCTGATTCGCTTTTTTATTCCGATATAACCAAAGACCCGTTGTTCATTAATACATTCACTTCTTTCAACAAATATAACTCCAAATGCACTAGTTAAGGTGCTAAGTGTGAAGGGGACAATGTTCACATGAAATCTGGCGGTAAAACACATGATCAGAAACGTGATATATAATTTTTAAATCAATAAGTAATGATTGTTGGTAAAAGAGCTCAGACAGATTGACTTGCCTTGGGAGTGTGGGGGAGATACTCTTACAGGAGGAGAGTGAGTCGTATGAGCAGAAGGAAAGAGCCGTGCAAAGGCCCTGATGCAGGAGAAAGTGTGGTCTTTGCAAAGAATTAAAATAAAATAGGTCTGTGCAGTTAGAGTACACAAGGAGAGGACAATAGCAGGATAAGTGTACCAAGGTTAATAAAGGCAAAATCACTAAGGGAGTCTTTTAAGCCACAGTAAGGATTTTGGATTGTATTCTAAGAGAAATAAGAAGTTTTTAAAGGGCTTTAAGGAGAGGAGTGACATGATGCAATCTGAGATTGTTAAGGATAATTCTAGGCATCGCAAGGGGAATGAACTTTAGGAAACAAAAGTGGATACAAGTGACCATTTAGAAGATTCTTGAAACATGGGCTTCTTCAGCAAGCCACAAGAGCAGCAAAGAATAGAGTTCAACATTTTTAACTCCTTGTTCAACATCCAGGTTTGACACTCCATGAGACTGCACAAAAACCTATTTATGTGACTTTGAATTATTGTTAAAATTACTGACAATAAATTTTAAAATCTCCCATTATATATTTATTAACCTGAACTGAAATGCCATCTTTAAAAATCAGTTTCCTCAGAAACAGACTCAGAGACAGAGAACAGACTTGTGGTTGCCAAGGAAGGGGTGGAGGAAGGAAGGATTGGGAGTTTGGGATTAGCAGATGCAAACTATTATATAGGATGGATAAACAACAAGGTCCTACTGTATAGCACAGGGAATTATATTCAATATCCTGTGGGAAACCATAATGGAAAAGAATATGAAAAAATATATATATATATAACTGAGTCATTGCTGTACAGAAGAAATTAACACAATGTTGTAAATCAACTATACCTTAATAAATTTTAAAAAATAAAAATAAATAAAAAATAAAAATCAGTTTCCTATTGGTAAAGCTTAGTTAGCCAAAAAGTAATGACTAAATTTAAAATTAGAATTTTTAACTACGGCCTATTTCTAATGACCAGAAGCTAAAGATTTTACAAATTGGAAATTTAAATTTGGGGATGATTCCTTTTATAAAATGATGTGTCCTCCACCAGAATGCCAAAATTAAACAAGCTTGTTTCACTTACCCACCAGCAGTGTGTGGCCTAAAATATCATAGAACACGTTACTGTCCACCTTCAGGCCCAAGGTCCTGGACACGCTGAGGCCTCTGCTGAAAGATCGCCACACAGTACAGCCCTGCATGTAGGAACCTGAACAGCAAAGAGGAAGGTAAAAATTAGATGGGAATCTCGAAGGCTCCTCACATTCTGTTAATCATCTCCAAAGCAAGCTAGAATATAAGTAAGAACATTCTCCCACACAATATATAAAACTCAAGAAATAAGGAGTTGGCAGCATAAATCAAATCAAGGTACCTGGCAGCACAGACCAAGGTACCTCAAAGATACCAAAGATAAGCAGGGTGGAATCCAAGGACCACGTGTAGTAAAGAAAACCACCTGACAAAAAGACAGTATGGCCAAACCACAGAGGAATACGTGGCCATCAAGATTTCCAACTGGCCGTCATCTTTGGTATCTACTCTAATCACAATATGGTGGACAGCAGCTCAAAAGATGTTAAGGACGATGTGAAGAGCACTGCTTATGGACCAACACTGATCTCTGAAAACTGCCTCTGGCATGAGGAGAGGTAGTCATTATTTCCTGAGCTATGAAGTAATTTTTTAATTGAAGTATAGTTGATTTACAATGTTGCAGGTATATGGCAAAGTTATTGAATATAACCACCGTTGAATACAGTGGTTTGTGAAACTGAAGGGGAAATACCCTCTACCATACTAAGAGACATTGACATTTTAGGAAAACCATTACACTGGCTCCATGGCATATTTTATGATCCCCAAATCATACATCATGTATGTGGACTGAATCAATCAATGAATAAATATTTACTGAGTATCAACTATATATTTCAGGAATTGTGCCTTGTGCCAGAGACATAAAGATGAATAAAACTAAGTAAATTCTGAACTTGTGTATCTTGAGTCTGATGGAGGAAACTCACATTAAAATAATAAAAATGTATTATTTGGATAGTAAAATTATAAATCCTCAAAAAGGAGTTTTGTATTATTTCCAGGTAGTGAGAGAGATTATATCAATACCAAATGTCTGCAGTATTGGAAAAATGACTTTGGATTATGTAATAATTTGACTTTTGAATTGGAACTCTCAAGAAAATTCTCAACTATGATGTCCCCTAGACACAGAGACTGTAGATTCCTCTCGACCTCAGCTCCCCCAGTACCAGATGCCCTTACATCAGTCACCAATGAGTTAACCCATTCATACCCACTCACGTAGGAAACACTGCCTGCTGCAGACTTTTCCCGACTCCTGACCTCCACCATAACGTCACTCCATCAGAATACGCCTGCCCATCTGAACAACCAGGAAGTACTAATGTGTTTACAGAGCTATCTATTGTGGGTAGAGGTCAGGGCTCAGTAAACTTTTAAAAGCAGCTTGCATGCAAAGATTCCAACACTCTCCAACTCCAGTAACAGGGGACAGCTGGCCATACAGGTCATGGGAGTCTGTAGGGCATGAACCAATAAAGGATTCTTTGGCAAGCATGCCAGAAGTTTCTAACCTCTGCGTTAACGGGTTTCCCCCTCCCAGGAAACACATTTGCATTTTAACAGAGACCTACAGGAGATAATGTATTAATTCAGTGGATTTCAAACTTTTGTTAAGCACTGACCCCTTTTTCAAATAAAACTTAATGTATATAAATAAATAAAAGTGCAGGTACTCTGAAGCAGAGGTTGAGGAGGCAGATTAAGTGAATTTTTGATGGGGGGGGTTGATTATGTTCATTGATAACTCATATGTGACTACTCCCCTCACTTCTACTGGAACTGGCCCACATCAAATATTCCTCAGCATCATAAGCACCATGAGACCAAAGAAACAGAGAGAAGGACACAAAGATACTGACAGTACTAATGAACTAGGGAAAGAGCCATGTGAGGAACCATCCTCCTATAGGGGCATAAAAAGAAATAAATAAGGTGGAAGAGATCTGGAAAATTAGGATAAATAGACATTCTTGGCATGCAGATGATTTGAAATAAGAAAAAAAAAATGCTACAGCTGTCTAGCCAGGATCTTGCTTTCAATGACCTCAAGGATTACTTTGTCATTACCTGTTGAAATCCTAGCACCTCTCAAGGCCCACCTGAACCTCCAATATGCCCTGATGTGCTTTGCCAGGCATCAACCCCCAGAGCACCACCCTACCAAGGAAGGCAAAGCGTGCATATGTGGGTGTTGAGGTGCTGAGGTCTGGGGAGCATAACTGTGAAACGGCGTTGCTGTCCTCATCACTCAGCATCTGTGCCCAAGTTTCTCATCTCTGTATCTCAGATTCTGGCATTGGCATTTTGCCCTGGATGCTCCCACATCCCTCCAACTTTGATCTCAGAGCCTTTATCAGTACATCTGGTCATATTCTTCTTTTCTGATTCTGATCTTTTTTACCTACTTGTTCCCACCTGCCTTGGATGTCTCCTAATTCCTTCCTATCTCTTCAGGTCTGGCCAAGATCTGCACACTCTGCCCGCTTTATATCCCCTGGAAGAGTGCCTGGTTCTCAGCCATTCTCTCCCATTTTCCCAGCAGGAGATTCCTCTGCGTTAGGACACCCTCACGAAGTGCTTTCCGCTAGCCTTGAATGATGATTTACACTTTTCAATGTCAATCTGACTGCAGTCACAAAGCCAGTAAATCGTAGTGGCAGGATTCAGAACACGGAGTTGTGTGGTTCCCTCCACATCTGTTGTACCTATAGTGACATTTCTCAAAGGGTACTCCTTGGACTACTTGTTCCAGCATCAGAAGGTTTGTTAAAAATTCAGATCTCGGGGGCTTCCCTGGTGGCACAGTGGTTGAGAGTCCTCCTGCCGCCCCGGTCTGGGAAGATCCCGCATGCCGCGGAGTGGCTGGGCCCGTGAGCCATGGCCGCTGAGCCTGCGCATCTGGAGCCTGTGCTCCGCAACGGGAGAGGTGAGACGCCCGCGTACCGCAAAAAAAAAAAAAAATTCAGATCTCTAGGCCCACTTTATATCAGAATTTGTCTCAGCAGGGTCTCTAAGTGAGAATTTTAATAAGCTCCCCAAGTGACTTTTTAGGCATGTTAAAGTTTGAGAATCACAGATCTAGGGTATAGTTATCCATCTCTGATCCCCACCATGTCCCCACCATGTCCCCACATACCACCTACCAGGACCCCCTGCATGGAGAGCCTAGAATATGGAAGAGGAAGGAAAAATGAGATGTTATGCCTGGGCCTCCTTACCTCTCAGAGCTCCCACCAGAGTCAGCGAGCTCACATGCTTACAGAAGGCTTGCCCCAAGTCCCGGAACTGCACTCCCTTCAACTGGACCCAGCTGGGCTCCTTTGGAAAAGACTGAATGATGACTCTGGCCCCCAGATCCCTGGATCCCAGCATCTTCTCACTCTTGAAATACAAACAGTTCTGCAAATCACCTGAAACACAGAACGAAGTCAAGGGGAGCAGAAGTATGTACAATATGCTTCGGGACAAATCTCCCAGTACGAAAAGAAAGGCACTGTTGGCACAAAGGGCAAACCATGATTGTTTATTTCGTTTAATAATCTTACTTCCCTTTTACTTTGATTCTCCCCTTTGGATTATTAATTAAAACATCCAATAACTAGGACATGATGTTGCCTTCACTCTATTATTTCCAGAAGGCCCCAAATCATTCTCCTTAATTACTGTCACAAAGAGGATGACTAGAACCCACAAACCCAACCTAAATAGATGCTTATTTCAATCCAAAGGATCCCCCGGAGGGAGTGTGCAATCAAATGACCCTCTTGTGGTGGATAATCTTAGGGAAGAGATGTGAGCGCTGAACATAACCACGGCTCTTTTTAGTCTTGAGATGTCCAGTGGGGCTTTCCCGATATTTTGCCGCTTTATGGTTTGGAGGCACAGCAATCACGCCACTGAAGAAATGGCAGAGGGCTCCAGAGGAGTGACTGAGCAGCCCCCCACACCAGGGCCTCCTTCCCAGCAGAGCCCCTAGTGAGAACAGCAAACAGCATGAACATAGTACCACACGCAACTACCAAGGTGTTGTGACCTCAGGGTCCAGACGCTTTGTGTTGACACATGGCATTTGGTGGTGTGGACTGACCTCAGGATGGAGAAGAAATCATCTCCTGAATTAACTCTTTATTATCCAGGTTAATAAACCAAAGAAGAAATGTCACTAATACAAAATGATGGACCATTCAACAGTCATTTGCCAGCACCCAAAGGATGAATATATGAGGTGAATAAAGAGGTGTTTTATATTTGTACACTTTGCCACAATTTTGATTATATATGACATTGATCCATAATGTTTTCCAGTGTCCAGGCCTCTTGTTATTGTATCTGGCTACCTTGTTCCCATACTTGAGCCCCACACAAAGAAGAGGTGAGTGACATATTATTTTTTTAATAAGGGTCTATGAATTTTGTTTTATTTTTAGAATTGCTTAGTAATGTTTAAAAGTTGTGGTGTAACTAGGGTTTTTTTTCCATTAGGAGACAACAGATCTATACTGGTGTAAACCTAGAAGCATGGTCTCTCTTGCAGCATGATCTAATGCCATGATTTGTACAATATGATCTGAGAATACCTGTATGAGAATTACCGAGAGAGTGTGAATGGACTGCAGGTCCCAATTCAGCAGAATTGTTAAAGTTGGCAGTCACTGGATTCTAACCCACTGGATGCAAACATTTTTTTCAGAATGACACATGTATGAGCTAGATGACTAGAGGGGTGGAGAGTGGGATCCAGGTCCCTCTTACCCAACCACATCCCAACATTACACCCACAGGCGTCTATACATAGGCATGACTCGAATCTTTAACCCCAGCCTTGACATTTCTTCCAGGCTCCAGACACTACCAGACATCTCTACTAACAGGCTGGCCTGGCATCTCAGCCCCGACATGTACAAAATTAAACTCATGATCTCCACCCTCCCACCCCCAAAACCTGTTCCTCTTCCCATCTCAATAAATAGCCCCCTCATCCATCCAGAGCTCATGCCTGGGAGTCATCCTTGACACCCACGCCATCCTGGACCAAAGTTGACAAATGATGTCTTCACGACATGTGAAAGCCTCATAATCCACAGCCTGGGAAACCAAAACATAACCTACTAAACTAACCATCCCTGAAATAGATGTTTAATAGGTACATCAGTGTGATTCAGTGCCTGTTATTCTTCTAGAAGATAAATTGACTTTTTCAACCACTTACTTAAAGTATGTGGTAATTTCACTCAGAAAACAAACTCTAAAAGTGGGGGTGGTGGAGGGAGGGAAGAGCCTTACAGGTCTAACCCATAAGAATGTGCTGCCTGTATCCCTGACCCTGTCATTAATCAGTTTTCCTGAGAATTTTAGAAGAGGCCTGGAATCAGTGTCAAGACTTCATTATAACCTCTAACCTGGAAATTTAATTCAACTCTCCAGATTTCATTATTTAACAGGAATATTTTTCCCCAGAAAAAGAATTACTTTCTCAAGCAGATACTTTTGTCTACCTCTTTCACAAGAGGGTTGAAGGCAGGAGGGGAAATGATGACTTATCAAGAGCACTGTGAAAACTACAGAATATTAGGAACATGCACTTGAAAGAAGTCAACCACACCACTTATCATTGGACAGTAAGAACGTTCTTTTTCACCCACTGGACTTCCCAACAAAATGCTTCTCTACCTTGTGAAGCATTGGCCCTCTGGCATGAAGCAAGGAGCTGCACCCTCTCATCAGTGAGATTTCCCTGTATGGTAACACTCCTGCTGAGGAGAACCACCATGACCTTTAAAACATGGAGCTCTCCAGCCACCCAGTTCTCTGTGGAGTTGTGAGAATATCTGAAACAAAGAAAAAGAAAATGACACATCTGAAGATATCACCCAAAATCTTTGTTGTTGTTGCATTATTTTTTTTAACATCTTTATAGGAGTATAATTGCTTTACAATGGTGTGTTAGTTCCTGCTGTATAACAAAGTGAATCAGCTATATGTATACATATATCCCCATGTCCCCTCCCTTTTGCGTCTCCCTTCCACCCTCCCCATCCCACCCCTCTAGGTGGTCACAAAGCACCGAGCTGATCTCCCTGTGCTATGCGGCTGCTTCCCACTAGCTGTCTATTTTACATTTGGTAGTGTATATATGTCAATGCTACTCCCTCACTTCGTCCCAGCTTCCCCTTCCCCTTCCCTGTGTCCTCAAGTCCATTCTCTACGTCTGCGTCTTTGTTCCTGTCCTGCCCCTAGGTTCATCAGAACCTTTTTATTTTAGATTCCATATATATGTGTTAGCATACAGTATTTGTTTTTCTCTTTCTGACTTACTTCGTTCTGCATGACAGACTCTAGGTCCATCCACCTTACTACAAATAACTCAATTTCGTTTCTTTTTATGGCTGAGTAATATTCCATTGTATATATGTGCCACATCTTCTTTATCCATTCATCTGTTGATGGACACCTAGGTTGCTTCCATGTCCTGGCTATTGTAAATAGAGCTGCAATGAGCATTGTAGTACATGATTCTTTTTGAATTCTGGTTTCCTCAGGGTATATGCCCAGTAGTGGGATTGCTGGGTCATATGGTAGTTCTAGTTTTAGTTTTTTAAGGAACCTCCATACTGTTCTCCATAGTGGCTGTATCAATTTACATTCCCACCAACAGTGCAAGAGGATTCCCTTTTCTCCACACCCTCTCCAGCATTTATTGTTTGTAGAGTTTTTGATGATGGCCATTCTGACCGGTATCACTCCAAATCTTATTAGGAATAGTAAGCCACTAAATTAGCCTAATTCTCCATCTGGGGCTCTATTTCTTTAGAAAACTCAGATAAAGAAGAGTGAACTATCATCACAAGTATGGGAAAATTAGGAACTATGCTGACTATTGCACTGACCATCTACTGCAAGACGAAAGTTCTAGAGTCTTACCAGAGAAACTTATTTAAGAAGTCTTAATCTTCCAAATGTTTCATGCTTTGTAATCTTGTCAAAATGTCTACTATTATTTAATGTAAAAATGCATTATCGAAAGACAAACAAATGTCAGACACCAACACAGTGAAGACCTCATCTTCTTCCATCTAAAAGGAGCCAAGGTGACATGCAGTACCTCAAGGGTGACCTCAGATGGAGGTCTGTATTCTGCACACTCTCCACAATGACAGTCTCTTCCAAGGGCTTGGCGCCTTCTGCACCCATCCCACTGATGACAATGACTTCATCCCCCGCGTGCCAGTCCACAGCATCTTCCAGAGCCAACACCGTGTCACGGGCATAGGCAGCTGCTCGAAGATGGGTGACCACGACTTCTGGGAGTGAACCTAAAGCAAATCCGAGGGAAACCTGCCTTTAGACATTTTTAAAACTTATTATGAATGTGATGTTATTCAGCCAAAAAAAGCCTGTGAAAGAAGAATCTGGGAAAGCAAGCTTCAAGCTCAATAGGCACCAATGCCTTCACTTTTCTGGATATTGGGGTTTTTTGTCTGTCACACGGGGACAATAAAAGTAATCCAGGATAGAGAATGATATGGGGTGAAAAACACAGGAAGTGGAGTCAGACTAATTTTACAGCTGAATCACACTCTTGCCATCGTCTAACTATGTTTCTTTGGGCGATATACTTAAAGGTGGGTCTCAGTTTCCTCAGTTACAAAGCAGAAGCAGCAAAGCCTTCCCTCCTGGGGGTTTAGGACGATTCAATGACAAAATATCTGTGAAACAACTAGCGTGGACCTTGCCACATAACAGACCCTCAATATATTTTAGTCTGCTCTCTTCCCTCCTTGCATCACACTGTTTTGAGGATGAAATTTGTCACCTCTTTCTTCCAAGTAGACTCTCCAAGGTAGAAGTTCACCATGTATTTCTAAACTGAAGACTTCAACTCACTGTACAAATAGTAATAGTAGAGTTAAAAGTCAAAATTACCCTCAGAATGGTTGTCCTAAGTCTCAGGGTATTAAGTGATCCCCTTATACTGTAAGACAAGGTGTATCCAGGACAGGATGGCTCAGCAAAGCTGAACAAGGGGGAACGTGTGACTCTAGATACCTTGGTTTGTTTTAGGCTCCAGTGCAGCCGTCTGATCCTCCCCAAACCAGTACGCTGCTCCTTAACCAGTCTCGTAGTTTACTCTGGCCTTTTCCAGCAAGGGTCAAGGCAAAGATTTTTTTCTAGCCATTACCTGAAGCAATACCTCAGGAAACACAAGGCTTACTCCCAACTCCTCCTTTCCTCAGCACATTTCCTTCCTCCTTCGCAATAGATCATAATTTACCTCTAGCCCACAGCAACTTCCTGTCCTCCCTTGTTGCACTAAAGTAATGATACTTGAATCTCTAACTACAGAGGTGAGCAACAATAAATCATTTTCAAATTATTTTAAACTTCCCTCTTTATTTATTTGTCTATGTTGGGTGGCGGGGGCATTGTACCAGTAATGTTGTTCTAGGCTTAGGAAGGTCTCCGGGTTAATGATGTAATTTCCGAAGTTTACTTGGGCAATAATTTTATCTTAAAAAAAAATTCCCAGAGTTCAAAATGTCTAATTATAGAGCAGGTGAAAATTAAGACATAAATCATCCCAAAAAGAAAATAATTTTATTTTTTTTCCTGGTTTGTATGTTTTAACCTTTGGGAACAATAAATGAAATAAAGTCTATTTTGATGTATATGCATATATATGTGAATTTCTATGATCTGTTCTTGAATGTCTGCACAGAAAAATCTCTAATATGCATAGAAAATGTTTGTCAAGGACAAAATTCTATTAAACGCTGTGATCAATGGTTCATCATACTCAGTCAATACTCAACAAACACCTGCTGTGCACCTATCAACAAGCAGCTACACGTGGCAGAACCAAGAATAGGCACAACAAAGATATTTTTTAGCTAATCATTCTTATAAATAATAGTCAAGTCAGAATGAATGGAAAAAAATCACAGAGGATCTTTGAAGTGAATTTTTAACTATTAACATAAACTTAAGACCTTTCAAATGTTGACAGAGCCTCTAGAAAGCAGTAAAATTATCTCATAATTTATTCGCTCTCATTGCAAAAACAACACACCTCTACATGTCTGCCTAAAACATCAACCTGAGTGTCTGACGCGTGCCAGCCTCATATTTGCAGCTACATAGCAGATGTGGATATTTGGATGAGTTACCATCATCTCAAACTGGAGAATGTCAAAATAAATTTAATAATCACCTGAGCTAGACCCTCTGAAACAGCTTTTATTCTTCTGACCATTATGCATCGTTCTTTTTTAATTACATCCCTTCTTTGTTCATTAACCTGCAGTATCTGCCTACAGTACTCAGTAACAAAGGCACAAATTCCCTTCTTGACTTTCAAGAGTCTCCTTAATCAGACTCCACTGTATGGTCTCTGACTCCTGAATAATCTCTCAATTCCAGGAAGCCTCTTTACTGTACTTCTTCTCATTTAACAGGATCATTCCTACCTCTACTCCTTTGCCTGTTCTATGCCTTCCACTGGGTGCCCAGTTTTCTTCCCCTCATCTGCTCTCCTAAAAACAGCTCAAGCCTCACCTCTTCTGTTGGATGTCAGGGAGCACTTCAGCCCATGCTGATGTCCACTGCCTCCTATAGACGCCACAGTGATAAGGGGGGGGTTCTTATTGAGTAAAAGGTCAGTGTGCATCTGGGACTAGGCACGCCACATGCCTGGCTGGATTGTGGGCCATTTAACTGAGTTGCTTTGCATGGGAGAAGAAGTTCCACAAAGGAACAGATAGGAAAGGATGACAGAGATGGTACGGGGTCTGTCTCAGACATGGGCTCTCTCTCATGGACCCGTGACTGAACCTGAGGAAAGAACCTGCAGGAACTCTCCAGATGGATTTTGTACCTGCTGCTCCTCTGCCTGGGATTCCTTCATCAACTCACTCTGCCTCATTCTTCAGAATGATGTTCAACTTGGTCCTTCAGAGAAACCTCTGAGACCTCCAAACTAGGTCAAACCCTGACTTATAATCTGTCATATCACTGTGTCCCTCTCCTTTCTAGCACTTAACACATGTGGTTTGACCTCTATTACTGTCATTCTCCATCTCCCCTATTAAACATGGCAGAAGTTATACCTATACTTGCCCACCATCATAGTACCAATGCATATCACAGTGTCTTGTATATAATAAGTGTTCAATAAATATGTACTGATGAAGGAAAATCATGACGGAAACATGGAGAAGCAAGCACCCCAAAGTTTTGGCACCCAGATGGTCAGGTGGGACCCCAAGTGGCAACAGTGGTTGCCTTTGGTTTCATCATGGAGCACAACCCTCCCACACCTGAGGGTTGGACCACCTGGGCAGCAAGGAAAGTCTGCGCCCTTGGCACCCTGTGTTCAGTATTTTCATGGCAGGTACCTGAAACAAGGGCAGCAGGGCAGCCCCCAGCTGCCTTCCTGAAGGGAGCACAATGACCAAGAAAACCAAAATAAGAGGAAAATAGACTAACTGATGAAATTGTCATGAGAACACCTATAACAAGCAGGCAGGGATGTTGGTAAGGGCTGGAGGATCTGTGAGAGTTGGGGGAGGTGAGCAGGAATACTTTTGTTATCACTATTGACATATCCACAGGCTGAGAGTGTTCAGGGAGGCCTGAGGAGACTAGAGTGATGTAACCTATAGTCAGCACCATATATTTCACACTAAGTTATTCTGTAATTATTACAGTACCTATGTCTCTTGCCCCACCTTGAATGCAGGGCCACTGCCTCACGTCTCCTTTACAAATGTCACAATTTCTAACACAGCATTCAACTGGGTTCATGATTAGCATTCAACTCATAGGGATTTAAATTATTCTGACTATTGCCATACGGACAATCACTTACAAACCCTCATCAGATATATACCTAAATGAGCATATGATATACAGCATGTAAAAAGCTGAAAAACAACACAAACATTATTGAGAATTTAGAATAAATCCAACCTATGCTAAGTAGTGTTACTCTGAAGTAAGAACTGTTGGTTTTCTGGGTTTTGCTTTGTTTTGTTTTCCTTTTGACAGATTGTATAGATTAGGAGGCTAAAATAGGCTAAAATAACGCGTCCAGGGCAAAATCACCCAGTAGGAGATGTCAGTGCCAAGTTCTGAAACTGGCTCTTCTGAATCCAGAACCACAGAACTGGACACCTAATGGAATTCTAGCCTCTGGAAGCAACTGTATATTAACTGTGCCCAATTAGCTTTGATACTCAAAACATTATAGCCTTTACTTTATAAATACTATTTAAAAGCCATACAAGGTGGATCGACTGACTTCTCTGATGAAAACAGCATCGTACACATTTCAAATGTGAGTCATTTCACTTCACAGAACTCTTCAGAAACCCAGCTCAGGTGTCTCCCTTCCTTTCTGTACCACAAATCAAAAAGAAAAAAAAAGAAAGAAAGAAAAACCATGTAAAAATACAGTTTAAAAAGCTCAGTAATTTACGCATATGCTTACAAGAAAAAAAGATTATGCTCTTGACTCGTAATTTAATACCATGTTTAACCTCTTTGGGCTTTCAACTTTGACCTGTTAACCAACAAACTACTCATTTACTCCCACTAATGATTTCTACTCATAATTGCACTTCCTACAAATTATTGTTCAAGCATTTCAGTGCCATTCATCCATAATTACACAGGCCCAGAGAATCATCTTGCCAAATGGTCATGGAGAGAAAGAAAATCATCTTTGTGGGTTAACACACTTTAAAATCACTAATTATCCTCTGTTTGTTTTGTAGGACTTCAATCGTTCAATTTATTCCAAGTGAATAACTGCCAAGACCTTTCCAAATCAGTAAAGGGCAGGGGGAGGGGAAAAGGGGGGTGGGGGAGAGGGAGAGAGGGAGAGGAAGGAAGGCAGAGAGGGGAGGGAGGGAAAGAGGGAGGAAAGAATTATTTCATCAAAATCATGTTCACATCAGAACAGAAATATAAAGAAATTCACAAAAGAATTAGAAATATTTTTCTCAAATACATGTAAATTATTTCCCCTTATTTCTGCATGCAGCTTCACCATTATCCATAGTAAAACAATGAATGCTATCTTTCCTTTTGTGTAGATGAACATCTGTCAAGCACTGGCAAGACAGACGTAAAGGGAACAGAGTCACTGTCCTCCAGGGTCCATGAACAGTACAGGAAATAAACAAAAAAATCACAAATGCACTCTGTTAAGCGTTTAGGCAGAGGGACACCCAGGGTCCGCCAGTGAAGAGACATGGAACACCTCACACAGAGGCAGGGGTTGTTTCTGGGAATGCTTCCCAGAAGACGTGACAAC